TCGGAAGGTCATAACTTTTGACTCGGGTATGCAAATCAAATTATTATTTTTTATTTCAAATAACTTTTCGAGATCTACACAATGACATCTCATTTGACATATTTTATCTTTCATTAACATAGTTCAAATTGACAATAATAGTTCCATTTTTTTTACAAATTTGAATTATGTTTGTGAGAGACAAAATATGTCAAATGAGGTGTCATTGCGTATAGGGGTGTAAATGGGCCAGGCTAGCCCGGCCCAGCCTACTGCCCGGCCTTTCAGAAAAGTAGAGTAGACTTAGGCTTATAAAAAAGATTTTTTAACAAATAGGCCATAGGCCAATTTTGTCAAACCCAGCCTACAGCCTTGTAGGCTGGCCTATTTAATTTATTAAAATAAAATAGTATTTATTTTATGTGGCAAAGTACCAATACCAACTCTAATTTTTATGTGCACTGCCGCTTCTCACTCTCAGCTTCGTCTTTTCTCTTAGAACCCTTGTGCTTGTAGCCGGCCATTTCCGACAACCACCTCTACTTGGAGCTTCTTTGTTTAGGTACGCAGTGTACGTTCCTTCTCTCCTCTTTCTCTTAATCTTTTTCTTTCCCTCCCAAAAGCCCCATTTTTGTGATCTTCTTCATGGTACACAGAACTTGAAGACTTTAATTACTCACTCAACACTTTCAGATCGGTGTTTCTCTTGGACAAATTGACAAGGTTTTTATTTTTTATGCAATTTTATTCCTTATTGCACACTCTTTCGTTTTCATGCATGAATGAATGGAACTTTCTTTGCTCTATACAATTATTTTTTTTGCTTAGTATCTACAGTGGGAAGCCTACAAGGCCTGTAGGCCATGTCAGACTTTCTTATTTTTAAAAATGGGTCGGGTTTGGCCTACAAATAAAGCCTTTAATAGGCCAGATAGGCTGAATTTTTTTTTACGTAGGCTTGGGCCAGGAAGGCCAAAGCCCGACTCAACCCAGCCCATTTACACCCCTAATTGCGTAGATCTCGAAAAGTTATGTGAAACAAAAAAAATCATTTTATTTGGATACCCGAGTCAAAAGTTATGGCATTCCGAAGTTTTATGATAACAGGACAAACGGAATTGTGCCACTTGGCACGATCGTGTGAGTTCCCCCAGGAGAGAGGGGCGTCACTCAATTAAAAAAAATAAAAAATAAATAAAAGAAGTGTGAGTAGCGCAGGGGGAGGTGTGCGGCACTTAGTGACGTTGGGTTCCCCTCGCGTCACTAAATGACCCCGATTGGTAAACACCGTGAACCAAATACCTCATTGATAAATTAAAATCCCAACAAACCCCAATGGGTCAAAAAGCCCTTCTTTGCATTCTCTCTGCTCTCCACTGCAGTCGTGGGTCACAAAATATGGGGAGAACCTCACACACCTTTTGACTTCAGTATTCTGGGCTTCTTCCCTTTGTTGAAGATAACATTTTCCTCATGCAAGACCTCCTTGAAAAAAAAGATGCCATGAAGAAAAACATGGGGACTTGGATTTGTGCTCAAAGGTTACATCTTCCACTGCTTCACTTTTTGATTCAACTCGGCATATATCTTGAATGCCTTCAACTTTGTCCTCGCAACTCGCCATAATAATTCTTCTTATTACTCTTAGATTTGGATCTTGCTCTTGGTTTGTGGGTTATGTTTATTTTTGAGGATGAAAACACTACTCCAGAACTTGACTCTGAGGAGCATGAAGCCGAGTATGCTTTGTGAGGTTTGCTTCTCCATCCAATCTTCTATCATCACGACTCGGAGAAGATTCATCCTTTCTTTATTCCCTTTTTTATTTTCTACGTCGGGAACCATGATTGTGGTTGTAGTTCAAATTGCTCTGTATGTGAGTGGTTTTGTTGAAGAGACCCAGTTGTTGATCGTCATCAAGATTGGATTAGATTTGTTTGTTGAACGATAAATGGTGTTGATGAGACTGGAGAGTCTATCGAGAATTATAAAGGGTAATTTTGTAAAATCACTCCACATTCCTAGCAATATTTGACAATCAACAAAACATGGAATCAGGAAACTTGAATCAACATTCTTGGTAATATTTTGGCCCACCAAACAACTTTTTATTAACATTCATGCAAAATTCACTTTCTCATTATATTCCTCGGTATCTTGATTCCCAAAAATAACAAAAGTTTTCTTCTACCAAACGTCCCCTAAAGGAAAAAGCGTGAATGCTGTTCAAGATTTGGTTTTCAAGTGCACACGGGAAATTGACACTGCCAAATTTTTATACATATGTGGTAAGTTTGTATTTTTCTTTTTATTTTATTTTTGTGTGCTTATATGGGTTATTTGTTTTAACTTTCAATTTATATATTTATGAATTCAGAATTTTTTATATTGTATAAAATAAACGGATAAAAATACCAAAAAAATTAAAATATAGAATTTTGATTTGCTAAGTTTTTTTTTTTTTTTTTTAACTTTTATACTAATTCAAAACAACCTTTATTCAAGTTCAAAACCCAATATTATTTTTTTATTGAAAAACTACAATATTGTTTAGTAGGGACATATTTAAGGGTGACAATTTAGGTTGGCCCGTCACGACCGGCCACCAACCCGCCAAAAACGGAGCGGGACGGGTTGGCTCGCCATTAAATATGGGTTGAAAAAATGAACCCACCCTGTTTTATGGTGGGTTGGCGGGTCAATCCACCAACCCGTCAATTAAAAAATTAATTAAAATTCAAAAATAAATTAGATTTTATGAATTTTTCTAATATTATTTTATTTTATTTCACATTTTTCTTAATTTTTTTCAGTCTCGATCTTAAATGTACACTAATATTTGTCAGATATTCTTTAGGAACTCATTTGTCTCCATATATGAATAACATTTGTCATAAATAAAATTGTTATTCTTTATTTTTTCTAGGAAGTATTATAACATTCTTTATTCTTTAAGATAAAAAAAATTGGATATCACAAAAATTTAATGACAAATGAAATACTACCTAATTATAAAAAAAAAAAAATTATAACCTGGCAGGTTGAACCCGTTTTAACCCACTTCTAGGAGGGGCGAGTTGAAGTGGGTTGGTGGGTTGAAAATCTCAACCCAACCCGCCCCGTTTTGGCGAGTTGACCCGCTGGGCTCAACTCATATTGTCACCTCTAGACATATTTATCTCATCAAAGTCATAGATCAAGAAATGTGAAGATGTATACGACCTGTTTGGATATTGTTTTTAAAAACAATTTTTTAGTTTTCAGAATAAAAAATAAAAAAAATTCCGTTTGATAAGGTCTGCTTTGTAAAAAATAAAAATTACAACAGTTTTTTTATTTTTAGAATCAAATTTTGAGAACATATCTGAATTATTTTTTTATGTTTTGACTTTTAATTTTTAAAACAAAAAAAAACACAGAAAATATTTATTTCTGTAACTATTTTACAAAACAGTTTTAAAAACAAAAAATCTATAACACAATCAAACAGACTCGTAACTCTCTCAAGATGTAACTTAGGTCGTTTTCTCTAATAATAATAGAATTTAATTTTGCTGTACATTTATTACAGTTACATTTATTTATCTATTATCAAATTAGTTAATAAAGTTTATATTTAAGGTAGTTGTCAGTATAATTAAATTCATTAAATAATATAACAAATAAATTACTATACACATGAGTGTAGAAAATTTTTAAACTTACATTACATCAAAATTCAACTCATAACAATATAACCAACCCACTTGGCTACCAATGCCCCATTCTTTTAGTCTCTATTCTGTCATTTTACTCGAACCCAAAAAGATGTATAGTCTCTTCACAACTTGTTGGTTGGCCAGGGGCCAGGGCATTATATGGACCACAATATCTCAAAATTCTCATCTCCAGCTACAAATTAGAGGCATTTGGCAGTGTTCTTTCCCAAAAGAATCGTCCTTTTCCTCGCCTGAAAGGCATTCAAGCTAAACTTTGTGAATCAGTACCATATACTCAAATGTTACTCACCTAAAAAAAATCTATTGGACTTTCAGAATAATCCACATGAAATTGTTACACGAGAATTGTATTTGCATTTGGTAGCCTAAAAAGTTTATGAAAAAAAGTGTGTCATTTTATTTTATTTTTGGTGAAAGAAGGTGTGTCATTTTAAACGACACACCTTATATCTTTTTACTTTCACAAAGAGTAGGACCCATACTTTTTAAAAAAAAAAAAATCACTCATTCTCTCTCTCATGATTTATCTCTTTCTCTCACTTAAAATGACATAATTTTATGTCCTTTAAAATGATACACAGTTTCTTCAAAGTTTATTAGGTTGGCTGTTTTGGGCTTTAACTTTTGCATGGGAATTGCTATGAGTTCACATTCCAAATAAGGTCTAATGAAATGTCCATAACCTCAAACTCAATACAAATAAGTATAAACTCCATTAGCATGGTCATCATTTTCAATTTTCATGGCCAAAAAGGCCTTTGTTATCTAACGTGGATAGGCCCTTGCTTTAGCTTGCCTCTTTCTGTCTTTGATTAGTCCCACAGTTCAGATATTTTTCCATTAAGTGCTTTTTTTTTTCTTTCTAATCAACTAATTAGATTTCCCCCTTTTGCCATGTTCTATTTTGTCCTTGTTGAACTTGTGACATGTCCTTGTCCTTGGTATGATTCAGACAACAAACCACATAGAGTTGACAATAGTAGATATATATCAGCATTATGGTTAAGAAGTTAACGTTCCATAAATGATAAATCGCCCGTGAAGCGCACAACTGTCTAAAAATAATGCCACCGCAACAAGTGAAGGTACATACAATTTTTGTCGCTCCAAAACAAAGCAGGAGTCACTATAAGCACATGGCAATGGAGGCCCACAAAAATAAAAAATCTGTTTGAATTTAATTTGTATCAAGAAATTAAATCTTAACCCATTTCCAATTAAATTCCTAAGCACAAAAAATCAGAGATTCAAATTTACAAATGCCATTCTAATTAAAGACAAATCTTTTTGTTCTCATTTGAGTTAGGTGATTAATACAGTGAAATGCATACCTAGCAGAAAATGTGAAAAAAATAAGAAAGAAAGAAAGAATGGTGCTTGGAGGTTGGTTGATGAAGACTGATCAGACATTTCAGAAGAATCAACGGCAAGAGGTTTTCCATCACTGTTTAGAGTACAGGTTTGTGGATCAGAGCCATCAGTGCTCAACATTAAAGCACGAAGAACCCCAGAAACAGTGTGAATATAAGCTGTCCGATTCTTTGCTAGAAGCCATGTCAAGCCCATGAGTTCACAATCTTTGTTGTGTATCTTTTTAGTCCTATCTTCTGATTTGCTTGAATTTGAAGTCTTCTTTCTAATCTGCATAGAGGCAATATGTCAAGTCATGTTGCACTAAATAATTTTATCTCAATTTGCTATAGCAACACCTTTTCTGATTCGAATGCATGTATATTGACAAATCAACAGCAATAAGAGATGGAAAAATATATTAGAATACAGGTGATAAAAAAAATAACAGTTGATTTGTCTATTACTAGTTAAGAACTTTTCACATAACAAATCATGTGAAATCACACATGAGAGGATGGAGATATATTTCTTTAGCTTTTAATTTTGGGTTGGGTTAAGATTATCAAGTTCGTGAGTCAACTGGACATGCTTAGAACCCTAATTCTTTAATAAGGATATCAAATTGAAACGGCACAATAAATAGGTTTGGTGCATCAAAGCATGTTAAATTACATCTTGATTGGTGTAACATCAATTATTAGAAAAATAGTCAAAGCTGCACATCAATGCTAAGGACTATCAAAATGCATAGGAGAAATTTCAACGAACTAATTATTCGGTTTAGAGAGATGAGGTTGTGAAGATTTTAATAGTAAGACATTATGCATATGTTCAAAGGGTTTTATTAGTGTTATGTTACATGATTTAAGTGTTGTTTTCAACACACACAAAAATGGAGAGAGAAAGTGGAATGATAAGAGAAAAAAAAAACATGTGGACCCCACGTCTTTAATGTGTGTGTAGGAAGGTGATGTTATATCATGTTACATGATAAACATAAAACCCATGTTCAAACGCAACAGACAACATTTAGATCACCCTGAATGAATTCCAACATTTTTTAAATAATTATTCTAAGATTCTGAAACAAGCGACAGATTTTTTGCAAACTGCATACTATAAATCAGAAACAGGAACGATAAATCCAAATGTGGCTACAGATGTTGTCATCTAATGCCAATAACTATGAGTTAAGTAGGAAATGAGAATCAGACTTATGTCAGGCAGGCAAAAAGTGAATAACTTAGAAGAATCAGAGGGATATTAATCAGATCTTAGTTTTGCTTCTTTGCAGTCAATTTGCAAGGTAAGCATGTGACAGGAAAAAATAATGGATTAAAAGTACAACTATGCCAACAAACCATCATTTATGCCTGAGGCAAGCTAAGAACAAGAACACTAAAATTAACAAATTGAAGCCGTGTCTTATAAGTTAGAAGGTTAAAATTGTTTATGATGTCTTTTGCATTATAGAAATAAAACTTTTCTCGTAAGTAACAACTTGATTTACGCACGACAATATTGTAAAAGTCATCAAGCTTCTTGATCCAAACTTTACAAAGAGATTATTTTGCAACCAAGGATCTAAAATATTGTATTTATTTTGAAGATCAAGTGCTTAATCTTTTATAGGCACACACGATGTAGATTTTTTTGTAAGACCTCGGTTTGAAGACATTGGCGGGTCATTTGACTAAAGCCTATTTCACTAATTCTCAAGTGACTGAAGTGTTAGACTTCACTAATCCAAAGGCGCGTAAAGGATAGTGCCAAAACTGACAATATCCCAAGTAAAGGAAGGAAAAAGATAACTTTCCAATTACCAAGCATGAAGATTGAAGATTTCATGAAAAGAAACCTTGATTGATCAGTTTGATCTTCTTCAATTTTGAACAAGATCCATTTAATTCCAAATGAACAAGTACTAAGCAATGCCAAAGAAAAGAACAGCAAAACAAAATACATGGAGGAGAAAAAAAGGAGCATTTTTGTTGTTGAAAACTTACCAAATAGAGGCTATGTAAACACTTAGAGCACCCTTCCAGACCTGGAAATCCATTGACATTGGTGCTGCTACTCAAGCAATTTCTCTCCAACCTTTTCACACTTTCATCTCCAACAAGATTCCCACTTGGAGTAACTGAAAATGATTCAGGGCAGCTCAAAGGGTGCAACCTAATGCCACAGTAGCAATACACCGCATCACAAGTCTCATTTGGCTGGATAAGCTCAATTCCTCTCACTTTCAAAGCCTTTCCCAAGTCACTCACACAGGTTTCCGAATCATCTGGCAACAAGGGCATGTCATAGGATGTGGGATGGCCATGGCCTGGTGAACCATGTTCCACTCCAAGAGCAGTGGCAGAGTAAGCAGAGTACAGCCACGCAGCCAGCACAGGACAACATCGGCTACGGTGGAGCTCCTTATCAACACCATCTTTGTTGGAACTACATGCACTCTTTATTCCATCATAGTGCTCGTCTGAGAGGTTCAGAGGGCACCCTGCAGCATCATCTTGTTCGGGGAATGCAGGGATTGTTCCTGGTGAAGTTGGTTTTGGGATAATTGGCTGAACTGAAGCATCAGGGTCAGAGAGAGCCAGATAGCAAGGGAGGATAGTGAACAAGAACAAAAGGGTCTTGAAGAATGGCTCAACTGTTGTAGACAGTGTCAATGTCATAGTGTTTAAGAGAAGTCTTAGACTCTATGGTGAAGGGAAAAAGGGGAAGGGTGTGAAGTGGATGTGGTCTTGTTTCTCCAACCAAAAAGAAGAGAATATTGGTATGGCATGGGAAGGGTAGCCTCTGTAGGGGTGTTGTTGGGTCAGAACTCAAACCAAAGGGAAAGGGAAAGCAAAGTAAAGGGCAAAAAGGGTGGTGGGGTTGAGCAAAGTTTGGCACCATGCCACCTCGTTTAGATCTAAGCTTAATATGCTACCTCTATTATGTTTCTGGTAGGGATTAGCAAATAGTTTCATGATCAAATCATTCACTGAAGAAATGATTTTATATTAAATCTCTTTAACACATATTTTTACTATCATCATGTATAAACATAAGTATGCCACCAATGAATGTATATACATGACATTTTATCAGCACGGGGAGGTTTAGAGTTGAGAACAACAAAGAACTACCCATTGTTTAATTATTTCCAGCAGCAGATATTCTGATAGTCCTTCTCCTACTCTTTGTTTGAAGTCTTGTCTCTAATCATGGAAACGAATTATGTACCATCCTACCCATTTTCTTGTTGGTATCTTGGAGCTGGGGGCAAATTTTGGAATCTAATGTATGGATATTAGTGTTCTATTTTCCAAAGCCTTGACAACAACTTTTATTTCCTTGTGACCAATTATCCGAGAGGGACAAAGTTATACAATATACAGCTATGCATTATATGATACAATTTTTTCGTAAATAATACTTGAAACCAGTTAATAGGCAAGAACTAAATCAATTGGAACTCAAAGCCAAGGAAATAGGCTTTTTCTCTTCTTTTCCTTCCGGATATGTCTTGGAACAAAATTGTGGCTACGGGAGCATATTATTACATCACATGGCCTCATTTCGTATATTGTAAATTTTATTTTTGAAATAAATTTCGCCACGCTTTTGTCAATAAGGCCAACAATTTCTTTAAATTAAAAAAGTCAAGGCTGTCACTTTTTTCTATTTGCATTTTTTTTTTTTTAGATATTTCAATTGGTTCATCATTTCGAGACTAGTCCGACTCGTGGTGAATCTTAGGATTAAGACTTTAAACTTCTCTCAAATCCTATTTGCATCTTTGTAAATACTAAAAATGTAACAGGAAATTCCAGTTGCAAATTTCCATATATTCCTTTTGAACATTTTTTTTTTCGGTAAACATTCCTTTTGAACTTTATTATACCGATTTCAATGTAATTTTCAAACTACTCTTCTTTTTAGTGCATATCATACCTCTTACCTTTTATTATTTACTAATTTCTTAATATTTATATATCAACTTAATGTTAGTGTATTATAACTGTTTTAATTACGTCCATTTTTTAAAGAAAAATATTTATTATTTTAAAGGACACAATTTTATATTATTTTTAATAAAATTATGTTATTTTATTGCTTATTTGATGATTTTTTACATCATTTCTATTTCATAAAACTAGAAAGAGAGAGAAAATATAAAAATTGTTAAATATACACCAAAATGATATAGTTTTGTTAAAAATGATATAAAGTTATATCTTTTTAAAATGACAAATATTTTTTTCTTTCTTAAACATCATTTTTACGTCTTGCAGAAAAGTGTTTATAATCAATCGCCCGAACAAAAAAGTTTAGCGATTCCATTGAACTTTGAAAATTCTCAATTATATAGTAATAATCCTCATATCATAGTATGACATATGAAAGTCTTTGAGCTGTGTTCTTGCTAATTTAATCGTAACTTAGAAAATGAAATCTTGAGAATTTTCAACATTCATGAAAATATAAGGTTTAGACTGAATGGCTCTGTTTACAGGCTAATAATCACCTCTACCAATTTAGTACATTATTCGTTTGGGCTTCAATGTTTTACTTTTATGCCTTTTGAGTTTCTCTGATGTATAATTGTGTCCCCACCCACAACCTGTAAAATATACAAGCTTTGTAACTTTAAAAAGACGAAAGTGTTTTTGACTGTTCTCCACGGTACAAAGGCCCATTTCAGCCATTTCTTTATGAATAGAAATGTGCGCTTTTCCCCTCTATAATCACTATTCCAAATCCCAATTGCTGCGCAACCAAAAAGTGACAAAGAAAAGCCAGCTGTTGCCCTTAGATCGTTGTCGAATATCCATGTTGGACTTTGCCTTGAGCTTTTTGTTTCCATTCTTTTTTTTCTTTTTTCTTTTTTGTCTAGTTTCTGCCTCTAGAGAAGTCTCTTCTTATATAAGTTTAAATAATCTCTTATGATTTTATTTTGTTTTGTTTTGTCTTTTAGTTTGTTTGTGTTACCAATATCTTTAAAAAATGTTAGGAAATGGATTAAAAAAATATATGATACGGTCACTATGAAAAATTACAACCATACAAAAAATAAATTAATGGTAATGATTTTATAATTATCTTTTTTAATATTTTTTTCTCTTCTTTATCATTATTGATCCATCTTTGTATAATTATAATTCCTCGTGTTAGAGATATACCACGGTCACATTCTGAATTGTTGAGTTTTCTCTCTCAGCTCCTTCACTCTCTCTAGATTTTTATTTTTTTTCATTTTCTCCTGTGAAATTTTTTAGCACAAATACGTGGATCTGTGCATTATCCACCTTTTATGTCCAGTGGACTCCCGTGTAAGGGGGCATGTTAGATATATATAAAAAAAATCATTAATGTAGGCACCCAAGTTTTTGGGTTGAATTAAATTTTTACATGATATAAGAGCCATGTGTCACGGATTTAATCTGTCACTCTCTTTCTCTTGTGAAATTTCTTAGCACATATAGGTGAACTTGTGTATTGTACACTTTTCGCTATCAAAGGCTCGGAATCACGAGTTCGATCCTCACTATCCCAAATTTTTTTTGTGAAATTTCTTAGTACGGATTAGGGCTGTGCATGGGTGAGGTCGGGTCAGATTTTTGTGCCGACTCGACCTAACTTGGTTTTTATAGGTCAGGTATTTTGATCCGACCCGCTTTCATTTGATTCAAGTCAGGTCTGACTTGGTTGGAATTTTTTTGAACTAGTTCAGAACCGGGTCGGATCTGATGAAATGGGTTTGATTTGGTTTCTGAAGTGTGTCAAATTCGACCTGACCCGTTTTTGACTTGGTTTCAAAACATGTTTTTAATTTGATTTTTTTTGTAGTTATTGATTTATTTTTTAAACTCATGAAATTTCTACGTAGCAAACGACAAAAATTTCATCATAAAATTATTTTTTCATCGAAATACTTTTTGTCGAAAAGTGACGGAATTTTTTCTTTAATGAAAATTTTTACAAAAAAAAAAATTTTCTATCGAAATTTTCGACGAAATTTAGTTTCCGTCCAAAGTTTTGACGAAAATGATTTCCTCCATCAAAAGTTTTAAACGAAAAAAAAAATCCGTCAAAAATTTTGACAGAATGTTTTTCGTTCAAAATTTTGACGGAAATCGTTTTGAGGGAAATGTTTCATTCGAAACTTTCGACGAAATTTAGATTCTCTAAAGAATTTTGACAGAATATTTTTTCCGTCAAAATTTTTTATCGGATATTTTTGTTCAACATTTTTTGACAGAAATGTGTTCCGTTGAAAATTTTGATGGAAACATTTTTTATCAAAAAACTTGACAAAAATATTTAGTCGAAAAACTGACCCAAGTAAAAGTGGGTCAGTATTTAAACTGACCCAACCAAATGCTTCAACTGACCAAAGTTCAATTGGTCATTATTAAAACAAGTCAGGTCAAAATCTGACCCAAATAAAAGTGGGTTAGTATTTAAACCAATTAAAAAAAATAGATATTTGTGGGTCAGGTCAAGGTCAGATTGAGGGGAGGACAAGTGAACCAGTTTTTTTGCGCACCCCTACTACGAATAGGTGAGTCTGTACATTATCTATAGTCTAATAGACTCTCATAAATGGATGTGTTAGAAATATATAAAAAATCAATGTAACATCACCCACGACTTAAATTTTTTTTATTGATTTGGTTCTTTACACCTCACGTGACCATGTCAATTTTTTTAAGAGAAGACTATCCACTCCTAAGTAAAAAATAAAAGGGAAGAAGAAGAATTTTTCAACAGTAAAAACTATAAAGGGGTGCCTTCCACTGAATTCAACTTCATAAGGATGTAGGATTTGTAGGCTAGATTCTGTACAACGTGATATCTGCAGCAAAACCCCAATATTTAAGAATCTCCATGCTAAATCCACTAATGTTCGTGCGAAATTATTTGTTTTTTTCACTCTCTACAAACTTTGGGTTCTACGGCTGCACGGAGCAGCTGTACAAAACAGGTAAAAAATTTAGGATTTAGATGGAATAAAAATTAAAATGTGGGTTTAAATGGGAAGAAAATTTTCCTTTTTTGGAAAAAAAAAATGTACCGAAATGGGTACATGCGATGTATTGAAGAAATTTCCAGTTGGGTAGGTTTCGAGCTCCGAGCTGTAGGGAGGAGTCGCACGCTTTGTATTCAAAACCTGCTGATGAAACTAATGGTCCTGACTCTCTTTCTCATTATTAAACTTTTATTTCCTCATCCAGTTAGTGGTTTTGTCATGTGTTCCCCTTTACTTCATATTCAGCAAAAAAAGAAAAACTATTTTATATATTGGATCAAGGTGTTGTAATTACTAGTACTAGAATATGAATATGTCAACTTTTCCTCTATGATTTTTATTTTATTTTATTGTTTTGGAGTTGGGGGAGTGGTCTAAGCTGAGTTAAAAGTTTAGGTTCTCGACCCTTCTTGTTCAACACAAAAGCAAGGAATTAAACATATGTAGTTTTTGTAAGTTGGTGAGTGTGGTCACAGTTTTATCTTTCCTGTTTAGTTCTATGAATGATTGCAGCATCTCCAAGATAAGTAACATCAAGCATGATAAAAGAATTGATGCAATGTAAAGCTCTTTCCTGAATCTAATTTGTTTCAAAAGATGAAACGTATTTGTAGCGTGAAGAGTAACACGACATTGTAATGTTGGTTGGGCTGAAAGCCTGAAACCACTAAATCGGAGGGGAATATGGGTGTCCCTGTCAGACAATTCATCGTACCAAAAATTTTGTCTTCTTCATTGCTTCGGAAGCCAGCAGCTG